ACATTAATACCCCCAAATTGCAATGGCTTCAAGTTTCTACCTTCATTGCTAGAACTAAATCGAGAAATAAAATGTTTCTGTGACAAAAGGGTCAGAGAAGCCTGAATTAAAATGTAAATGAGGGATCAAAATTATCTAAAATGATATTTTGACAGTTGTCAGGAGCTGAAAAAGTTAGTGTAGTTCATATGGTAGATAGTAACTTTTAAGATCGTACTTTGCATGTTCTCACCTTCATGCCCTTGTCCATGCCATGCTCTTCCTTGATAGTGTCCTAACCTTTTGACCTACTGAAATCCTGTCCATCCTTCAAGGCCTTACTGAAATCCTGTCCATCCTCCAAGGCCTCCTCTATGAAGCTTTCCAGATCTCTACAACAAAATGCAATGTCTCTATCCATTACATCCATACCTATTACCTATATGTGCATTTAACTCCACTTTGTAGTATATATGTATGGGTATATTTATCTAGTCATCTATAATAAGCTTCTTGAGGGCAGGAGCCACTACTTATTCATATTTATTTCTCACTATAGTGCTGAAAACAATATGTTAGAAATTTTAGAAATTACTTAAGATTTATTTAATTACAGTAGAGAATAGGGAATAGCAGTCTTACTGTAACTCTATTATTCTCAGCATCCATGAAAGAGACTGTTTGTTGTACCAACTTATAAGAAAGCCTTTTTAATAAAAAGTCCTCTTAGAATGTGTTCAATGTGGACCTGCCTTATGCTTGGTTACAGCCAGTCCATGGTACTTCCCTCCCCCATACATGCACATCAGGTAGGATTGCATTTATCTGCAATTATAGAAATCTGACTATGTAGATTTAACTAAGTGTTGTTTTTTTTCTCTGCTGCAACATGAATGTATTAGTAGGGAGCTATTGTATGGCAGGTCAAGGGTGCCATCAGGACCCAGGCTCTTTGTATCATTCTACTCTGTTGTCTTTATTATATGTTTTCTGTCTTTGTGTTTAAAACATGCCTCTTCTACCACCAAGCCATCACAACCGTGTTCTAGGCAGGAAGAAAGGAAAAGAGCAAAGGCCCAATGCCACACAAGTCTATCTCCTTTTTAAAAGTTTTCCTGGAATCCTACCTGATGGATTCTTATGTTTCATTGGACAGCAATTGGTCACTTGGCCATCTTTAGCTGTTAAAGACTTTGAACATGTGTATATGTAATTGGGCACATTGCTATCTTTATTAGTCCATTTTCTGTTTCTTATAACAGAATACCTGAAACTGGGTAATATATTAAGATGATAAAATTTATTTCTTACAGTTTTGGAGGCTAAATCCAAAATTCAGGGAACACATCCAATGAGGGCCTTCTTTTGGGTGGTGACTCTCTACAGGGTCCTGTGGTGACCAGGATATTACGTAAGTAGAAGAGCTCTCTCATGTGCTCCTTATAAAGCAACTAGGCCACACCCATGCTAACTCATTACTCCATGAATGGATTAATCCATTCACAAGGGCATAGTCCTCATGATCTAATCACCTCTCAAAGGCCCCACCCTTCAAATATCATAATCTAATTTCCCACCCTCTTAACATTGTTACAGTGGAGATCAAGTTTCCAACACATGAAATTCTAGGGGAAAAATTTGACCCATAACACCATCCAAAACAAAAGTCGAATTCTGTTAAAAGGAAGTGGGTAGAAATGAATATTAGATAGTTAAATAGACACGACTGCTACACCTCCTCATTAACCAGTAACAAAATGTAGGGGAGGGGCTTAAGATTGGGGAAGAGAAAGTATCTGTATTAAATATTAATGTGTGATCTTACCCATTCATTAAGCTATTACTGCATACAGTGATGACTTCTCAGGTCTAAGTAAGGACATGGCTATAAGACACAGATGTATACAATGAATCCCTGAGCATATATATCATGATAGAGTTTCTTGTCTTTTGCTACATGGAGTTACATAGAGTTAACTGGTAACCAGAAAAATAATACCTATGACTAAGGTACACTGATGAGTGACTCTCTACTAGGTACTATGCTAAACCTTTTAGTGTCTGTAATTTAATCCTTGACAACTATGAAGAGATCCTCTTACTAATGCCATTTTATAGATTAAGAAATCAAAGCTATTAAGTGACAGGGCCTGGATGTGATCCCAGAATATAACTTAACCAGAGAAAATGGCAGGGTTTTTTTTTTTTTTTTTAAAGATGACCGGTAAGGGGATCTTAACCCTTGACTTGGTGT